ATATATATATATATATATATATATATATATATATATATATATATATAGTCTTGTAGCTTTTATCTTTAAATTAAACGAAGTAAGTAATTTTATAAATATTGTCACGATTTCAATTAGGTCGCAAGCCAAGAATTGTTGATTAATGTTACACAAAGATTTAGCAAATTATACTCCATTATTTTAACATTTTCAATGAATAAGTAAATATCTTGCCCGTGACATCACTTCTCCATAGTATTGAAAATGCAATTGATTATATTTATATTTAAAATATTCTTATCTCCGAGAATGTGTAAAAAAGTTAATTTAATCCATTAAAAATTAGATCTACGCTAATGTATGCAGGATTTAAGTCAATGCACTGCGATCTAGTATGAAATTTTTAGAACGGTGCTCCTCGCGATATTAATTATCCGAAGCTTGAAACTGTTTTCGCGTGATATATTTTATAGAACAGATACCTGCTGCTTCTTCGTCATTCTGTACAATTCGAACAAATCTAAAATTGATAAGCTAGTTACAACGCAGACACCGAGCACGTAATATCCGTGAGAAGAGTACAGGGAATAAATTAACCCAGCCATGCTTAATGTTCTGAAGATCTCGTCTAAAATATTGAATCGTTCTTTGTTCCTCTCCTCCTCTAACTGCATCGCAACTGGATCGAAAGCTAGCAAATGAAAATTAAAACTTTTATCAGAGGTGAAAGATCTTCGTTTCGTTTCATTAATTCCTTTCTCTCTCGATTAATTTTCATTTAGATTGACTTGTTAATCTTAATAAGGATAATAATTTCTTTTTAAATTAATCTTTGGGATGCATGAAAACGGCCGATCACTCACTGTACTTTTTAACGAAAAGTTTATACGTAAGAACGATGAACGATCGAGAGCCAATGATCGCGATACTGGCGCAGGCAAACGTAACGTGTGTCAATAATTTCGAGTATTGAGCGTAAGAGTGTTTTATCAGAATATGAATGGACGAGCCGCATGCCAAAATCAAATTCGTGCACGAGAAAACGGATTCTAATATCATAGCATAACTTTCATGAAATACAAGCAGAAATTAATTTATAATTCTGTGCACATAGTAAGAAACACTGTGAAACGTTTCATCGAGTGATGAAAAGAAATCGTAAATAATTGTCACTAATTGGTATTGTTAATACCGACGTTTTAACATGATTAGAAACAAATGTCACTTGTTATTTTCATCGTCTAACCTTTTTTAGATGATAAACCTTTGATTATGAATAGATAAATAGATAAGCCTAGCATTTAACAATGAAGGTTAAAATCGTCGCTGAATATTGCGATTAATTAATATAATAGATAATTGACTGTTTAAATATTTTTAATTCATCTATGTAATTGTGATATCTATCAAGTCTTATAGCGGTGCTCATGAAATTTCAAAATGTTTCGTACAACACGCGTAATGTGTTCATAAGAAATATTTACTTAACTATATTTATCACGTATATTTACACGATTATTAATAAACAGAAATAAAGAGAGGAAAATTTACAACTGAGAATTACTATGATGTACACTGTACCATGAAGTGTGTGACATTTTGTAAAAACGTTATCGATACATTCAGCGAAGATAATTTATTCGCAGGTCGGAAATGATCGAGTTGTACAGCAGGATGAAATTATTACAACACTACGTTCGCGTAACACGATTCGTTTGACACGATGATTCGCGACAGAATTGATAAGCATGAGTTAGAAAAGTGCGAGAATATCAATGAACGTGCGTGATATGACGCTATGCAAAATATATTTCTCATTGTGATTTGTAAGTTGATTGCGATATATACGATGATAGCAGCAGATAACGTTCGTACAACTGTCCACATCACTGAGAACATTGTTAACCATCCTGTTTACAGTAACAGTACCACTAGAACTATAATGGTAGACAATAGTGTAAGTACATGTAAAAAATCGCGTCGAACAATCTGAAAGTATAGTCGTCAATGTTTTAACGAGATGTTGCAATTTTATTCGTTAAATTCGAGTGAGCTTAGTATGTCACGATCATAACCAATTGGCAGTTGCTGCTGATTAGAAGATTATGATCATGATCGAATCGTTATCATCAGGTTACTACAATTAAGGATATTAATTATAGAATGTTCGTTATAGAACGTTAATTTTTATACTACGGAAACAGTGAAAGAATCGCAACCAGATATCCTAGTGAATTTGTATCAAGCTAACTGCACCGATTTATCCGCGATCCTCGAACAATGGCGGAGTGATACTAATTTACGGAATAATGGCAGTAGAATGGAAAAAGATTTCGTTCGAATGAACGATTTAGAATTAGTAAATATCGAAGAGGCACGGTACAAATCGAAGTCTGTCCCTATGACGGATCACGAAGTCAGTTATCCTTATCCTTTCACAGATTATATTCACCCTCGATTTTGCGCCGATTATTCATCCATAAGTACTTATAAAAACCAGCACCATCGACTTGCCAGAAATCTGAAATCGATTACAGTTACTCACGATCGTGAAAACGCTAAAAAGGCGAGAAGGTGGTTGAACTCGTTTTTTCGTGGCAAACGGAAAAATTCGAGGCAGAACTCATCGATCGATGAAGATTTGAAATCGGCGGATCAGTGGAATAAAACGTTTCTATTGCCAAAGCTAGTAGGAGCATCGCAGGTACAACGAATTATCAGTGAAATGTCGTCCACGTCACCTTTCACAAGCCAAAATTTAGATCTGTATCGAATATTGAGATTAAACCTAATGCCTAAGAAAACCACTGCTTTCGTTAAGAAAAGGAGAAAAAGAAATATTGGGAATAGGAAAGTCACGAATGACTGGACGACAGAAAAATTATCGAAAAATGAAATGACTATTTATGCAGACATTGTGGGCATGATGTATACGACTGAATCGCCCGTTGAATCTCAGTTAACTTATAACACCGAAGAACAAAGTGAAATAGATCTGTTGAAGATGACATTGGGTTGGCTGGATCAGTTAGAGCCAGCAACTACAGAAAAAGTAACTGAACAATTACAAACATACTATGGTTATAGTGAATATAAAGGAGAAACTACGAAAGAGATCACTAATTGGTTTGACTATACTGGTACAACATCAGTAACGCTAAAAGAAACAACCAGATGGACAAAACCAGAGACAACTACACAAAGTAGAATATTATTTACGACTGACACTACTGTGAAGACAGAACAAACAACTGAAATTATTAGCACTACGGAATATTCCACATCAGGTGCAATGTCCGTAACAGAAGTAACTACCGTATTAACAAATAGTCTTCTTACTACGCCAGTAATGAACATTATTAGAACTACGGAAAGCACAATAACTACACTGATATTGGAAACGAAAACTGTTGAACACACGACAGAGAAATTTATAAACCCAATCTATAAAATAACTACAACACCAGACCTAACTGCAGTTAGAACGAAAATATTTCCGACGATTAAGGAAACGATAGAGGAAACAACAGTTACTAAAACAGTGACGTTCGAGAAAACAACCCAAAGAACTTTTAATACGTATCCAATTTCTACGACAGCAAAAATCATAAAAATTGATATCACAAAAGCTGTTCCTATTATTACAACAACCACTGCAGTAGAGAATGCAACACTGCACGAAAAAACTACAGTTCCTTTTGAAAAAACTACTATTCCTATTGCTACGACTACGACATTGCCAACAACAACCATGAACACCAAAACAGACAAAATAACAGAAACAACAACGTCAATTGTTCAAATAACTACTGTTCCCGTTACTACAAGTACGATTTTGCCCACGACTACTATGGAGACCACAACAGAAGAAATGACACTAACAACAACGCCAATT